CTTCGCATCTCCATTCTACACAGAAACGTAGTAGATCCAAATGCAAGGAAGATCAGGGAAGCAATGGAAATAAAGCAACAAGAACCACCCATCAACAGCAAGGAGGAGATGAAAGTGGCAATGGGATTGATATCAATATAAGACGTGCACAATGGAGACATACGTGACTAATTCTAGATCACCCCTGTCCCGCACCCTTATAAATAGTCCCATTCCTACCACTTTTATTTCTATCTATACTGCCAAGTAGAGAGGCTTGACGGAGTTTGTGCTCCTTCTCCCTTCTACACAGTGTGGGTTGTTGCTATGTTCACTCTATTAGTGCTGTAACATTGTAAGGGCAAATGCTGTGATTTAAGATCGAGTGACCTGAAGAAGGGCTTATGCCCGAAACGTTGTCATATAATAAAGATTCAATGAAAAGAAGAGCTTCGCCGTTCTACTCACTACAGCAAGATTAAACACAATGAAGCTCAAGGAACCATCGATTCTGAATAATTGGAATCGTCCATTTAACTTATATATAGGGAAGTTTTCATTACTTACACTATTTGTGTAATTGAAATGAATGTAGAGGATCATTTACCTAATTTTGATTGAATAAAAATTTCCTAGGGTTGATTATTCCGGAAGAGGCGAATTAGCTGAAAGGCAGCAGAAATTAGCTCAAATGATGAGCAGACTTCAGGTTAGTTTGATATCTTCAGTCTTTTCTTCAGACGTACAAAATCAAATCAGAACTCGGAAATGCAACACTGGACCACTCCAATGTCTGGGAAGGGTGGATCATTGAATGAACTTAGGATCTTTCTTTTTTATGTTAAAGGCAAGGCGGATGATAGCGCTTCAAGTGGCTGTTAAATTTCCAAAAGGATGGTGATTAATTTCGTATGAAAGCATAAGTACGTTACTCTCCATACTGCACTTCCACTTACAACTTAACACTTACAAGAACAGCAACTCTACATCGAGAGCTTTAGCTTTGGTTTTCCGAAGAACTCCGTTGTTCTTGTTGTTTCAACATTGCACCACATATGCGCGTAGTTCGAATGCATCAAACCATGCTATCTAGCAATGATGACTGAGATACTTCAGAAAATCGCAGAAGAATATAACGTGGCAGTGTTCATCAGCAACCAGATGACAGCTGATCCCGGAGCTGGTATGACTTTCCAGGTAGAGTAACATCAGTTGTACCACTAACTTATTTATCTATTAGTCGGAAAACCACAAGGATGCAGTTCGACTGTTCTATACATTGGTTCACTATTTCTTAAAGACAAACTGTACACTAACCTCCGAGGGTGCTCATTCTCATGCGCGACGTGAATGGGTCGGTAGCTCGATAGTAGCGTGCCACTTTCTTCGCTCAAAAGTGCACGAGAACGGGGCTGGAGGGTAG